GTCGCTGGTGTCCGTCAGTACCCTCACGTGGGGAGACTCAGCTGCATTAAGATAGTGATAACACGTTTCTCGGACTCACAGACTAGGTCTTTCCAAATCAATTTATTTGGTTTATGTAAATTGCATGTTATATTTTAATGATCTAACCACTATTTACATGCTTTATTTTTAATTTTAGATTACAACACATAGTATTTTGCTCACATCATAATTCTAATATTTGTTGCTTTGGTCAACAGTTGAGTAGCCATTTTTCCTATTTCCAATCATAAATTTATGAGTAAAATCTGTAATTGTTTTTACAGATATCCGGTAAGGAGTATTGTCCCTTAACATCAAACAACTATTTGTAGAGTATTCTATTGCACCTACGTCGAGACCGAAACTAAGGTCTCATCACATGGTTTAGGCACTGAAGAGTAGGTTTAACTCTAACAAATTGTTATAGTTACGAATATTTGAACTCAAACGTTAAATGAAAAAATTTATATTCTTACTTACTGGACCAACTGTAGGTTAATATAATAAATATATTGTTTTCATTGAAAAGTATGTTTGAGGAAATGGGCACGTAGTTTGACCTTTTTTTTGGGTTGGGTTGGGGGGGGATTTAAACAAAGTTGGCCAATTGATTATCGACTTCTAAGGGTGTTCATAAGTTGAGATGCCCATAGGTCTTGTTACTCGGCCCGAAAAATATAAGTTTAAAATTCGATAGATCCGATAATTGGCCTGTTCAAGCCCGAGTTAAATATCCTTCAAGAGAGGACTTAAGCCTACTCCCAAACCTATTATCCAGTTCAAAATTTGGCCCCATAGCCCGTTTGCAAAAAATCCCACCGAAGAACCCGCTTGTCCAAATCAAGCCAGCCCGAACAGCCCGCCTATTTTTTTTGAAAAAAAGTTAGACACATTAAATTTGAAATTTGAAAAAGATAGATAGGTGGAAGTGTTGACCTAGTTGGGATATGTTCATTTTATTGTGATATATTTCATCTCCTATTTATAAATAAAATTATTCATTATTTATTTTTTATCCATTTTGATCATACTTTTAATTTAAAAATATAATTTACAAAAATATTAAATTATAAAAATATTCATTATTTCTAAATGAAGTTATATAGAAAAAAAACTCGTCTAATAAACCCGTCTGCAGGCCCACCCAATAGGCCCATAAGCCAACGCCAACAGACCCGTCCAATGAGTGGCATGTAGAGACACAGATAACCTACTCTTACCTGAAGTTCGACCCAACCCGTTAGATAACTCACCTGAATTAGAGTTTGGATCTCCCTTACCTAAGCTCAACCCAAAAAAAGATTTCACGAGCCGAGCCAAACCCGGTCCGGCCCTGGACACCCCAATCAACATCGCATATCACCCTCTGTAACCAGCGGTCCATCTGTTGACAACTGTGCGATATACTTTCAGCAACGACAGTGTATCACTCGTGAGAAATGGTAGTATCGAAAAAAAAATTTGTGAGAAACGGTAGGGAGTTGATTTGCAATTATCCCTTTCCTTCCTTTTAACATTTATGTTTGGCTAAAATTTATAATTGGTCCCTCAGTTTTGTCTTTGATTTTAATTTGATCCTTAAACTTTAAATTATCCTAATTTAGTCAATTAACTATTAATTTTGTTTTAATTAAATTTGTCCATAAATTTTTATCGTTAGATCAGCCAAAAACTAGCTCAATCTAATTCATTTTAGCGTTGGTCTAGGAGTGAAAATGAATGGAAAGAATTAATTGAAATTAAATTAATAATTAAGAGACTAAATTAAAGTAATTGAAAATTCAAGTATTACAAAATGGTACCTAAGCTTAGCTATAGTTAATTGAGGAACGCAGCCCACATGGTGGAAAACGTGGATCGATCTTCAAAAAGAGGGGCTGCTGAAAAGCTTTTGAAAGTTTCTATTAGTAGTCGAGAAGAATTTACCACCCACAAGATGTGACAATGACAATAGACATTCAGAGTTAGGAAAGAGGCAAAGATGAAAAAGTTAACTAACTGGGGGTACTCGTGTTGGTAAGATTCCCCGGTTTCTCGGTGAGAGATCAGGGGTTCAAAATCTCTTGAGCTAGAGCATAATTGTTTGATAGAACATCTCAATTATTTTAATGAATAGTACCAAGTCTCTGTTGTAAGTCTTAAATCTCTGACAAAACGTAAATCTTGATTTAAATGGTGTATAAATTAAGGGACCGATTCATACTCCAGACTTTGCCCTTAATTCTACTCAGAGTTACGAGCCTAAACGATATAAACGCGTCTTTTCTCATTGAGGACAGACCACCAAATTTTTCTATTTCCAAAAAATAAAGATGAAAAAGTAGATCACTAGGCTAGAACCATTGAATCTTGTAATTGGGAAGAACAACGAAGACCTTCCATCAAAAATTTATGCAATGCATAATTCAGCTCAAGCGAAATGGTAGCCCTTTTTTTTTTTCTTTTCTTTTTTTCCGAGAAGAGCGTGCACCAGTTACTTGTTATCTCTATTTAATTTTTCGAGTAATATTCAATTTTTCTATACTTCAAAAATCTACACATAACTCTGTGGTATGTGGTATTAAAACCAAACGAAAACATCGATATGTTTTTATATTATACTTTACATTTAGAACTACTTCTACCCTTAATGTACAGTATGGGCAAAGGCTTAGCAGCCAATCAACCATCAAATGATTTCCAGTTTGTATTCTCATTGCAAATTCAAATTTCATGAGAGGACCCTGAATTAACGTATCTATGTGATCTGTAGATGATAATTCTATTTATCTGGGGTTAAATTATATATAGCCTGCAATTAAAAGAGAACGAGTGTGGAGGGTTATTGATTATGAAGGGAGAAAAAGGAATGATTCTTACCAACTAGTAACAGGTAAGAACAACCAAGTCAAGCATGTAAAGTAACCTATGACAATTGACAGCACAACATAAAAGAGACTACCCATTTGCTTTTTATTGTTATTAGTAACAAGTGTGTGTGTGAGAGGGAGAGAGGGGTATAATCGTAAATTCTTCCTGTATGGGATGCATAGTGGACTTCTGAAATAGAAGTCAACTACAAGAGATTATTCATAGAAATGAGCATCAAATGAAACTGGAACAGCTTAGATCCTTGACAATATGCAAAATTAAATTCAAGCAAGAACTTCATTGGTTTATGCAAAATTAATTTCAAACACTCAGGCCCTCCTCAATGAACACACAGAAAGATTTCTTGAAAATTGACACAACTTTACAAAATACCTTGTAACGTTTAACTTCTCTCCAAAATCACTCAAAATTTCCCATCCCCTCGCAATTTATTTAGAAGGAAAAAAAGAAACTATATAAAAAAAAATGAAAATTAAGGGTAAGAAATTTACTAACAAACTTTGTCAATCAAAGCCATAAGGCCCCAGCTTTTTTTAAAATTGGAGTTAACTCCCCAGTAATATGTGTGGCCATAATCCGATCCAACCCTCCAAACAATTCTCCGCCGATGAACACCGCCGGAAACTGCAACCGATCCTTTTCTTGATTTCCCCCTCCGATCATCTCCAGCTCATACACAACACCATCTTCATCTTCTTCGTTGATCTCGTATACCGCCGGATTTACGCCCAAACCCTGAAGCAAACGCTTCACCACATGGCTCATGCAACAACCCCTCTTTCCGAACACTATCACGGCGTTCTCCGATACCAATTTCTTCAAATCACCTATCACGGCGTTCTCCGATACCAAGTTGTTCAAATCACCTATGAATCGTCCTGTCATAGCTGATGAGCTGTTAGTTTTCGGCTTCGAATTGAAATAGTTCATGGTGGATGATGATGATCGGTCACGGGGTGTGTTTTTGGGTGCCGGAAGCCATGTCTTGTAAGGTAGAGCTTCTTGCATGGTGTTTAAGAGAGCTTTTTTCTTGTGGTGTAAAGCAATGGAGTGTATGTAGATATGTGGGTTTGTGTGTATAGGTGGTTTATATATAGAGAGAGGTGATATGAATGCAGGAGGTGGTGACGTGATAGGGGTTGGGTGGAGGGGAGGAGGTGACTTACTAAGNTCTCAATTATTTTAATGAATAGTACCAAGTCTCTGTTGTAAGTCTTAAATCTCTGACAAAACGTAAATCTTGATTTAAATGGTGTATAAATTAAGGGACCGATTCATACTCCAGACTTTGCCCTTAATTCTACTCAGAGTTACGAGCCTAAACGATATAAACGCGTCTTTTCTCATTGAGGACAGACCACCAAATTTTTCTATTTCCAAAAAATAAAGATGAAAAAGTAGATCACTAGGCTAGAACCATTGAATCTTGTAATTGGGAAGAACAACGAAGACCTTCCATCAAAAATTTATGCAATGCATAATTCAGCTCAAGCGAAATGGTAGCCCTTTTTTTTTTTCTTTTCTTTTTTTCCGAGAAGAGCGTGCACCAGTTACTTGTTATCTCTATTTAATTTTTCGAGTAATATTCAATTTTTCTATACTTCAAAAATCTACACATAACTCTGTGGTATGTGGTATTAAAACCAAACGAAAACATCGATATGTTTTTATATTATACTTTACATTTAGAACTACTTCTACCCTTAATGTACAGTATGGGCAAAGGCTTAGCAGCCAATCAACCATCAAATGATTTCCAGTTTGTATTCTCATTGCAAATTCAAATTTCATGAGAGGACCCTGAATTAACGTATCTATGTGATCTGTAGATGATAATTCTATTTATCTGGGGTTAAATTATATATAGCCGGCAATTAAAAGAGAACGAGTGTGGAGGGTTATTGATTATGAAGGGAGAAAAAGGAATGATTCTTACCAACTAGTAACAGGTAAGAACAACCAAGTCAAGCATGTAAAGTAACCTATGACAATTGACAGCACAACATAAAAGAGACTACCCATTTGCTTTTTATTGTTATTAGTAACAAGAGTGTGTGTGTGTGTGTGAGGGAGAGTGGGGTATAATCGTAAATTCATCCTGTATGGGATGCATAGTGGACTTCTGAAATAGAAGTCAACTACAAGAGATTCATAGAAATGAGCATCAAATGAAACTGGAACAGCTTAGATCCTTGACAATATGCAAAATTAAATTCAAGCAAGAACTTCATTGGTTTATGCAAAATTAATTTCAAACACTCAGGCCCTCCTCAATGAACACACAGAAAGATTTCTTGAAAATTGACACAACTTTACAAAATACCTTGTAACGTTTAACTTCTCTCCAAAATCACTCAAAATTTCCCATCCCCTCGCAATTTATTTAGAAGGAAAAAAAGAAACTATATAAAAAAAAAATGAAAATTAAGGGTAAGAAATTTACTAACAAACTTTGTCAATCAAAGCCATAAGGCCCCAGCTTTTTTTAAAATTGGAGTTAACTCCCCAGTAATATGTGTGGCCATAATCCGATCCAACCCTCCAAACAATTCTCCGCCGATGAACACCGCCGGAAACTGCAACCGATCCTTTTCTTGATTTCCCCCTCCGATCATCTCCAGCTCATACACAACACCATCTTCATCTTCTTCGTTGATCTCGTATACCGCCGGATTTACGCCCAAACCCTGAAGCAAACGCTTCACCACATGGCTCATGCAACAACCCCTCTTTCCGAACACTATCACGGCGTTCTCCGATACCAATTTCTTCAAATCACCTATCACGGCGTTCTCCGATACCAAGTTGTTCAAATCACCTATGAATCGTCCTGTCATAGCTGATGAGCTATTAGTTTTCGGCTTCGAATTGAAATAGTTCATGGTGGATGATGATGATCGGTCAAGGGGTGTGTTTTTGGGTGTCGGAAGCCATGTCTTGTAAGGTAGAGCTTCTTGCATGGTGTTTAAGAGAGCTTTTTTCTTGTGGTGTAAAGCAATGGAGTGTATGTAGATATGTGGGTTTGTGTGTATAGGTGGTTTATATATAGAGAGAGGTGATATGAATGCAGGAGGTGGTGACGTGATAGGGGTTGGGTGGAGGGGAGGAGGTGACTTACTAAGGGCTCAGCGTCAACGGCAGTTACGCTTTCTTACGCGTTACCTATGTTGTGGCTTACGTCTGATTATGTCATATGTTGTGGCTTACGTTTAATTATTGTCAGCACCTTCATGACGTCAATTTATCTACTGGCATTTGGCACTACTATGACCTACGGCTGCCTCTCTCTCTCTCTCTCTCTCTCTCTCTCTCTCTCACACACACACATTCATATTCCTTTTAAATGTGTTTGTAACGCCTTTTGAAAGATTCCTTCTAGTTCAAATGATCTAGAAACAAAAATTCAAGTCATACCCCTCATGATTTGATCATGTTAATGAGGTATCTTCATATTATCGTATATTACATTGTGCCCCATTTGGTTTGAATCACAACTTACCCTGTTGTGATAGAAAATTAAGGATGATAATGTAAGGTGATGATGTTAGCATATTTACCAACCTACACTTGCCATTAGGACTATAATCCCTAGCCCCTTCCTTTTGTTTTTATTTTCTCAAGTTCCCTCTTTTTGTCGTTGGTAGTGTCAATGTCACACCACCCAACCCCTATGCCTCTCTTTCTTCCCCCCCCCCCCCCCCCCCCCCCNAAGCCTAATAAGTAGGCAAAAAACAGTAATGCTTAGGTCGGCAAAAGATTATCTCTATTATTTATATCCAGTCCTATCCTCATGATCTGTCATTTGACTCAACAATTGGATTTAGGACTTCCCCAGAGTAACAAAAATCTTTTAAATTTAGTATACTATTTACTAAAGCAGCGCCCACAGTTTGACAAATTATTTTGAAGGCTCCTCCAAAGGTTTGTCTCCTTTAAACCAAATGGATCCTATCCCTTGTGCACATTTGCTTCATCTCCAATATAGTCCAAGTGCGATGAATTTGCTATTTGATCAAGAAAAAAGAAGATATAAACTTTTAGAGTTGGATTTTCTAAATGCGAAACAGAAGTCGAAAAAATGTAATGAAAAAATTAGCTTCTACAAAATTCGTGGAATCCTTTAAAATATTCTCGAAAAGTTAGTAAAGTTGGAAAAAAAAAATCCCATTTTGGAATCTAGCTTTTTTGGCTTTTGTGTCAAAATAAAAAAAAAACATGTATGTAAATTGAGTCAAATAGTTTTCAAAATATGAATTTTAAAATTTTTATGTGATTAATAATATTTTATGAATATAATAACCTAAAAAATTAATTGAGACCCGCAAACATGCCTCCTAAAAAGTTGTAAAAACAACTTCAAAATATTCTTTTAGATAAAAAAAACTATCATAAAAGCTAATAAAAAGCTGCAGGGCAAACTGTGGGGGAGAGAAATTTTTATATTGTTCTAAGATTTGTAGGATGTTGTTTTAGCAACTATATTGTATGAACATACATAGCATAAAACAAATTTATAAACAAAATGACGTGTTCCACTGGTTTTATTTTATTATAATAAATTAATTCGATGGTCTCAAATAAACTTATTCAACGGTCATTAACATTCCTTTTAAAACTTGTCTTCTCTTAAATTAATTACTTCTCACTTATATTGTATCATTCTTTTAAGTACGAGTTATTCCTAGTATATTTATAACAATGTTAAAATTTTTGAATTTTAAGACAAAGAAAACGAGAGAGAAAGAGGGTTTTTGTGCGGTTTTTATTTTATTTTATTTTTTTTAAGGGTGGGGGGGAATATCTGGGTGGGCCAGCCATTATGGCAACCAAGTTAAACATTGTCTTGGCAAAAAAACTTGTATGAAACGAAATGTGTTTTTGCATGAACGAAATTGAAAGGAAGTAATGTAAGCCATGTGTAGAAAGGATAAGAAGACAAAGGAGCCGCTCGCGGACGGTGTGCAATGATAACGTCAGCTAAAGGACATGTTCGGCAACCAACCATAACACGTCACACACCGTGTGGTGTGACGTCATTGTAAGGGCCCCGCCACGTGGGATTGATTGTTTCCTACTTTCTATCTTCTTGTTGCTCCACATTAATAGAGACCCGTCTTTATACTCCACGTAGCATGTGGAGCTCAGCATGACGTAATAGAAGAGGGGGGCAAGGACCGAGTGCGTTTGGTATTTTGGTCAATTCATTGGTGTCCCGATCTCCCAATACTAGATCCTAATCTGTGTGATTTGGATACTTCATTCATCATCGCCAACCAACTCTTGTGTGGATCTGGCTTCGGTGGAAGGTTTTGATATTTGTGATATTTTGGGATCAACACCTACTCCAACTCCTTGGATTCATTATTAGTTAGTCCATCAATATTATTTTTTGACATTGTCATATTATTTACACCTAAATTCATAAAATATAGAAAAAATTATATTCAGACCTCTTAAAATTTATCATTTAATTACTCAGACTCTTTTATATTTAAAATATTATACATAGACTCCCTAAAATTTATACGTGCGTAACACTTAAACCTCTGTTGTAAATATATCTATTAATAAATTACACTTAATCTCCCATAAAATTTTTAAGTATAGAACACTTAGACCCCTTAAGTTTAAAATATTATACTTAAACCAAAAATACTCTAATCAAATATAGAATATTAAATATTTTAAATTTTACAATGAAAATTTGTGTTCTATTGTATCATTTATTAAAATAAAATTAAAATTAAAAATTTATTTTTTTCTTAAAATATATTAATTAGTATACAATTATATTATCTATCAGAATAAAACTAAAAAATCAAACAAGGGGTCTAAGTCATTCATAATAGAACATGAATTTTACATCTAAAATTCAAGTTCTATTATTTCATTTATTGAAATAAAATCAAAAATAAAAGTCTAACTTTTTATAAAAAAAAATCATAGTTAGTATATAATTATATTATTTATTAGAATTAAACTAAAAAATTAAACAAGGGGTCAAACTGTAATGGACACAATACATTTTTGCTTTAATTGAGATAGTTTGACATTTAAACGACCAAATTAAATTCTAATAGACAATATAATTGTAAACTAATTATGATTTTTTAAGAAAAAAATTGAATCTTTATTTTTGATTTTATTTCAATAAATGATACAATAGAATATGAATTTTAATTGTAAAATTTAAAATATTTGATATTTTATCTCTAATTGAAGTATTTTTAGTATAAGTATAATATTTGAAACTTAAGGGGTCTAACTAGTATATATCTACAAACTTTAGAGGAGTTTAAGTGTAATTTATTAAATAATTTATTTATATCAGGGGTCTAAGTGTTAGACATGCACAAATTTCAGGGGGTCTGTGTATAATATTTCAAATATTAAAGAATTTAAGTGATTAAGTGATAGTCTCAGGGAGTCTATGTGTAATTCTACTGACATGTGAATTGGTGAGTTTAAACTTAACATGACTATTTAGTAAGTGAACTCCACTAATTTTAAAAAAATAAAGAAACATGATATCATGAGTTGACAATTAGAGACAATTCATTACACCTCTACATCTCTTGGCCGAAGAGATCATGATTGCAATCATGACAAGAGAGATAACTTTGATAGTTATGAGTCATCTCCTATAAATATCACCTATAAATATCAAAGGCAAGACTACAAATGAAGGATCCTTGATAAACACAACAACTCTATAAAGAGTTAATCTCTATTTTACTTAGTTTATTTACTTACAAACTTTCTTTAATTTGTAATCCATTACTCCGGTTATTTTCCTTTCCATTTAAATGCTAAGTATAGTAGTTTGTTCATTGACATCTGTTATAATCTTTTTGTTATTATACATTCATGTCTTCTTTCTGTATTCTAATCCATTTACGTTGTTAGATGAGAATTGTTTAAGTTCTTGATCATAAAGGCATAGAAAAAAAAATTCAAAAGTAACCTTATGTCTCATTATAATCACTTGAACAATCACGATTTAAAAACTCATGCTAGTTTGAATAGATAAGATAATAAGCGTTTGAATTTTAAGTTTAGTCGAATTTTGACATGCAAACAATCTAAACATACATCAAACAAATATCCTGTTACTTGTATCCAGTACTACAAGCAGATCATCCTTCAACATTCCATGATACTAAGATTACAACATGTCAATCTCCTTTGGATCGTGAAATCGATTATTGATTCCGGGATAGTAAACCATAATTTTAATGCAATTTGATTCTTTTATGTTTTAAAATGTGAGATATTAGGATTTCTTTAGATATCGAAGGAATCCCCAACTATTCGTATAGTTGGGGTTAGTAATTCTCAATACGACAGGAAATTAATTTGAAATTTACATGTTCAGACATAGTGTAATGAATTTATATCATAAATAAGTTGATTTGACATACTTGTTTTTATGAATAGGTCGACACAAACTTTATTACATATGATTTATACATAACTGAATTAAATTTGACATGATTATAAATGAGTTACAAGTCAAGTTTTGAACAATTTAACTTACAAATACAGTACTAAAACGATTCATTAACCACCAAAAAAAAAAAAATTCTTATAAGATGGCATTGGTCAAGCTAGCACCTAAATCACTTAAAGTGAATCTTGACAAACCTATGAGATGGTATACAATGGATCTGCATCTAGCACTTCTTTTGTCATATATTTTGATTGATAATGATTTGCTATGGGGTACCATCTTTATGAGAAAGCAAGAAAAGGAAAAACACATTCAGCAACCAAACTCTAACATGTGAAATTCATATCATGTAACCGGCCAGACAATTAAACCCATGGGGTGGGTTTGAAATCAACAAATCTAGGCTATATCTATACTATTACTAATAATACACTAACCCAAAAAATATTTATTTATCTGGTATACCCTTGAACAAATATATTGTCATTTTATAATTCTAAAATTCTTTAACTGTAATTTCAATTTATATTTATATTACTACTAAAAATGTACTAACCCAAAAAAAATTTATTTACCTGTTATACCCTTGAACAAATATATAAAGTCATTTGTATAGTTCTAAAATTCTTTAATTGTAATTGCAATGGTATAACTACCACATTAAAAAAGATTATTGTCTCAGCTTCTGTAACTCCCTCCTCATTTTCAGGGCAGCTGTACAGTCACAAAGTCTTCTCCTCTTCCTCAGGGTAGCTCCGGAGATAGGAAATCACTTTTGTAGT